TTTTTATACTTTTATACTTATTTATTCTGAGTAGATATAATTTAGCCAATTAAAATTCTTTGAGATTTATACTTTTTTCTTCTTTATTTCTCTACTTTCTATATTTAGTAAATTGAAATTTTATTTTTAGTTAGTATAATTATCTTTTATATTTTTTTCTTGTTTTTAATATTATATTTGTATTTTGAAGAAAATAAGTTGTAATTGAGTTCTAACTTAACATATCAGAACTTGAGAATAAATAATATAATAAAACAAAAATCTTTAACATTAAAACAAATTCATCTTCTTCTTTCAAAAGTACACTTCAAATCTTGTGAACAAGTAGCTTTGAGATCATATTGAGCTGATCAAAATTTTGATATTGAATTATTGAATTGATAGTTTGTTATAAATTAGTCTTTTAATATTTTTATTATAATTGAATTATTAGGAATTCCTCAACTAAAGACATCATAATCTCTTTTTTGTAAGAAGAATGAAGTGAAAAGTCTTCATTACTTTTGTTATTTTGATAATTTAATTAGTTAGTTAATTTGTTAATTACTTTAATTAAATAATTTATAAATTAATTAGTTAGTACAGTTATTCAGAACACTATACCTAATTGAAACATTATTATTTTATTCTTTTTCTCTCTCAAACTATAACAATTTCAATAGAAATTAATATAGGACTTAGATATTAATTTTATATTATTCTTATATTTGTTTAATTATCTCTCCCAATCCTTATTCACATTTATTAGCTAATTATCTAATTAGTAAAAAATATATAATAGTATTTAATGATTTTATTCCTAAAGAATTAGTTATATTTATTCATTAGCATATAATTTTTATCAAATTGCCACAAATATAATAACCAATCTAATATACTGAATATTATTAAAAGAATACAAAAAAATTTGAATCAAATGTTACAAAATACAAGTTGCTTATAAAAACAATATTATATATACGCAAAAGACAAAAAATTCTTTAACTTAACTTTACCTAATCTAATTACTTTGTATTATAACACTTTGCTCAAAAAAAAGAAATCAATTTATTATTCAAAAAATATCTTGAACCCAATCTCTGTATATGTAATTAACTTTCACAAGAACACTTATAATCTCTTTGTCTTATTTAAGTCAGATATATTATAAATGATAATTTTATTAACTAACTTATACAACAATAAAATAGAGCTAAAAAATTTATAGGCTTAATATATACTAAATAATTTCAGACAAGTCTTTAATAATGAGTCATATCTTAGATTATATTAATTTAATTCTCAGATAATTTTATATTGTATTTAAAATGGAACTTTTAAGTTCACTAAATTGTATTTTAGTATAGCTTTGCAAATAAAATAAGACTATATTATAGTATTTATTAATAATATTAATACTTGTGTTAATATCAGAAATATTAATAATATTTATATTTAATTAAATTAAATTAATAATAATAATAAAACTAGTTATATTATATAATATATAATTTATATAAATATATTATGTATCTTAGTTTAGAATTAATAGATTTTTAATATTTATAAAGTTATATTTGTATTAGTTTTTGGTCTTAAAAGATAGATTGCTTATAATAAATTATTATTATTGACTTAAAAACAATCACTAGATAAATTTATTATTTGTATTATAATTTTTAAAGTTCTAAAGTAATTATATAAAACTTAGTGAAGTTATTGAATATTATTTTAGCTCATCACAATATAAATATATATTATCTATCTTTAGTAATAGTTTTTAATTTTTCTTATTATAAAAACTTAGTTTCTCTCATTTTTTAATTAATAAAAATATGTAAATAATATATAAATAACTTAAATCATATAAAAATAATAATAATATTTTTAGTTATAATTTTTAGTTTCTTTTATGATTAAAACTTAATCTTTTTTATTTTACAATTAATAAAAACATATAAATAATATGTAAATAACTTAAAATTTATAAAAATAATAATATTATTATTTTTTAATAATATCATTACTATTATTATTTACTAAAATGATTAATATTTAATTTGTTCTTTATAATTTATTTGTATTCATATTTATATATTTTTTTGTTATATTAATATAATACTATATAGTATAATATAATGTAATATAATATAGTTATAATGTAATACTTGATATAGTAAATTAATATAATCATTAAAAATTATTAGTTCTTTACTTAGCATATAAAGATTATACAAAAAAATATATAATTATTTTATTTTTAATAATCTTGTTCTATATCTAAATACCAATGATAAAAATAGAAAATTTATATATAGTATAATATAAATAAATAAGAAAAATAATCAAAATATCAAGCAAATTATGTAATATTAAAATGTTTAATTTAATAACAAAAATAAAAAATAGGAAAAAAGAAAAAAATTTTATTAATTAATAATGAAATTGAATATATAATTTAATAACACCATAATTATTTTTATTACTTGTTTAATTTCATATTTTAGTTAATAGTTATGCTTTTCCATTTATATATATAAATATAATAAAAATGATATTCAATAAATTATCTTAGATATTGTCCAATAAAAATATAATAATCACGTTATTTTATTATTACAATTATAATATCATGTGATATTATTATACGACACGTTATCAAGATTGTGAATGCTTCAGTTATTTATTTACATGCATAAAATTGTTCAAATTAATTTGTGATGTGATTCGGTGATTTATGATATAAAATATATCTACACAACATCAATATAATTCTTCCAGAATTACAAGAGAATTGAAGTACATTACAGATTACAACTAAATCATGTTCAAATGTTCGAGGTAAGGTTTGAGTGCCTAACAAAAGAATATGATAAATAGTAAAAATGGAAAAAAGGAACTTGACTACAAACAAGAAACAAATAATAAATAGAATATAAAGATTATTTCTACGTACTTCTTTCTTCTTTTGTTTCTGTTCTCGATCGGTCGGCTTCGCCCATTTGATGCTATTCGGATCGGGCATCTGGATAAATGGCTTCCAATCCAGTTCTGCTAGTTCTTGAAAAACAGCTTCCGATTCTTGCTTTTGTGGTGATTGATTTGGCGGGGATGGCGCTGATTGGTCGTCGTCTTCTAGGTTTACAAGGACAGAGTTTTCTTTAACGAACGTGTGATTGTAGAAGACATAGGCATCGACAGTTTCGGATTCTGGACTTTGGATGGTAGCTCGTAATGGGCTTTTGATCTGTGGTTGTATTATTGTAATAATTGAAAATTTTACTCAAAATAATGATGACTCATCAATCGAGAATACAAGTTGAGTCTTCTTACTTCTGGAGGCTTTTTTTGATTTGGTATAGTAATTGTAGTGGGCTTAATTGATAAAGTACTGCATAACGGTATGTTAAACGAATCAATCAAATTCGGCGACGTCGGCGACTATATTGAAATAGCAAATCAGAAACTATACTAATGATGTCGATACAATTTCTCTGGACAATATTTACCCGAGGTTCCTTAGTACTAGAATTCGATTTGATTGATTCTTCATCACTCGAGTCTGATTCAATTAACGACTGATTGGAATTCAGCGCTTTTTCTTCGGTTCCCCAACCAAAATCAGATTCCTTTGCCTAGGAAATTCACGAATCACACGCGAATTAATAAATGTAAGTACAATTATTAAGAATAATAAAGCAAAATATTAACAGATAGAAAATACCTTAATAGTGTTTTTTTCTTGATTTTTTGCATCACCATAGAAGAGAATTTCTTCGTCAATAAGGGATTTGAAAGGTTCTATTGAATTGATTTTAGCAAAACTTTCTTGAACTTTCTCATCTTTAGGTTGAGTAAGTGCCGCTGTAGATGAATCTTTTGCATTACGACTGGACTCCTGCTGAATTTCAAAATTAATGTTTATAAAATATCAATGTTTATAAATTGAGAGATTCGGACGCAAAACTTTCTACCTCAGCCAATTGTACAAAAGGTGTCAACAAATCCGACTTCAAATAATCCGGATTTTCTTTCGGCTCGATTTTAGTGTCTTTAGAGAATCGAATGACTTGAGGTCTTGCCTTTGTCGGACTTATCGGACTTGTAGCTTCAACATTTGATTCTTTATTGACGTCAGAGGCATCTGAATAATTGGCATCAATGTTAGACACATTTGGATCAATTGGCGAAGCGCTAGCAATTTTGACTTCGTTTCCTCGAATTTGAGTTTCTTCGGTACTGGTTTTGATTTTTATAATATTTTTTCGAAATTGACGTGATTCATCTGATTTGGGGACCTTATCCACGAGTTTTGTTTTTGATGGAACATCTTTGCGAGGAACAGATCGAATCAAATGATTGTGTTTTTCTTCATTATCTTCAGCATAAGCGTTCCAAGTACTTATTACGTCATGTTCGCTTTGAGACAAGGCGCTCGAATTGCTCCGAGTTGGGTTAACGACGGGCGAAACATAATTGATTTCTTTAGGCTCGTCGGTCAGAGTCCAGCCAGTTCGCTCAGGCTGCATGGACGTGTTCCAATTGTTTTGTGATTTTTTGGCCGACACCGAATTCCAATTGTCGTTGTCGTTTTGTGGCTTGACGGAGGAGTCCCAATTGCTATCATGGACTGGCTGCGCAGACACTGAATTCCAACTATCGTTATCATTTTGTGGCTTGATGGAGGCGTCCCAACTGTTATCATGTTTCGACGGCACAAACGCGTTCCAATTGTTTTGTGATTTTTTGGCCGACACCGAATTCCAACTGTAGTTATCATTTTGTGGCTTGATGGAGGTGTCCCAACTGTTATCATGTTTCAATTGCACAGGTGAACGCAAATTGTTTGATCGTGGCTCAACATTCCAACTGTCATCTTCACGTTGTGGTTTGACGAAGGAAACCTTTGGCCCTGCATTAAAATTAAAATTAAAATTAAAATTTCCTTCTTTTGGCTCGTAGATCGGATTTTTTTGTTGCGTGCCAACGTGTGAATCCCAATTGCCTTGCTGTAATGAGGAATCCCTGTTGTTTTGTTGTACGCCGCGAACGGATGAGGCGCCCCAATTCGATTTCCTTTGTTTCTGTTCCGAATCCCATTTACATGATTCATATATTTCATCCTTTGGAACAATATCAAGAACTTTGTTGAGCGCGACTGCATTGGCATATCTCCATTCGGCGATTTGACTTGGCGCTTTTTGGCCAATGACCTCTTTTACAAGTACGCCTGGTGGAGGTCTCCAGGATGGTTTGGTAGATTGTTTAATTTCTGGTTCCTCGGGTTCGGGCTGAATTGTTGATTTTTTAATTTCATCATAAAATATACAGCAAAACGAAATAATTATTTTATGCGAGTATTTTTTACTGTTAGAGTTACCTCTCCTGGCTTGTTTGGCAGGCCTAAAGCTATAGCATTCCAAGATCGGTAGACTTGCGCCTGATATTTCTTTCTTCTATCCATTGTTTGTTGTCAGGATATTATCTAAGGTGTCACACCGTAAATTAACAACAGTCAAGAAATATAATGATAATAATAAAAAATTTTCTGCCGCGTTCCAAAATAAGCAAAAAAAATACCTGATCGTTAAGAAAACCTGATCGTTATAAAAAGGGATAAGTAGACAACAGCGACAGTTTTTTGCGTGTGAAAAAAGGATATTTTTCGTGAACAAAGAAAATTCTGTCTGTTGGATAATAACGATAATAATTATTTATATGTATGTATACTGTGTATCAATATTTATTATCAGTTAAATAATTATCGTTATTGTTTGTTTAAATCATACTTTTTTGCCGAGGCGCAGTAGTTGTGATTGTGTGTGTGTTTAACTTCTTCAACTAGCAAAAGAAATACAATGATAATAATTGTTCACGCGTGAAATTTGTCTTAGATCAATTGTGTTTTAAATTGAAGATCAATTGTGTTTTAAATTGAAGATCGATTGCTATTGGCACAATGAAAAAGTTTTAAATCTGAGGACAACTTATCACGTGGAGTTGTCAGCTTTTGATCCAAGCCGATTATAGCTACATGTATTTCAATTCAAAACAAAATCGAAATTCTTTTGTCTGCCTAACAACCAAAATAGTAATGAATTCCACGAATATTCGTTGGTTAGTTAAGAAAAATTCTGTGATTATCGAAGACTACGTACGTACATTATACGTATTGTGTAGCATATAAAGTTAAAAAATTCTCTGGCGCAGTAAAAATATCTAAACTTGGGTCACTTTGAATGACAATGGTTTGATTTTGATCAAGATGAATAACATCAATTTCATATAAACTTATACGATTTAGTGTTGGGTGGATATTTCCCATAACGATAACATTTATACGCATTCTCTTAAAACTGGCGACAGTCAAGAAAAATCTGATCTTCAACGAATTAACAATGTATTGATTGCTTGCCGTTACTTTCGATGATACTTTTAATTTATATCAAATTGAAAATGGCCTTGTGATTATCAGTAAATATCTGCGATGAAGTTCGAATTTTTGTCTAGAATCTTGATACGTGGTTCATGGATCGCTCCGAAAGATTATTCTCTTTCTCAAAAGCGACATGAGACAATAAAGGGAAAAACGCCACCACAAGAAATCAAATAAAAAGAACGATATGGATTTGTCTATGAGCAGATTGAAGAAGAGATACTCAGAATATTTTGGGCATGAAAAAGAAGGTAAAAAAAACAAAAATTTATAAAAGTAAATTCATTATTGACTGTAGCACAATACAATTGTGGTGACATTCCGAAATAATGCGTCTTTTTTATACGTTAATCGAATAAAAAAGTAAAAGATAGACTCATTTGAATTTAAATCCTGATTAAAAGATAGAGTCCACGTTTACAATTATTTCTATATCAATATCAAGTACGTAATTCAATTACTAGACAATCAGTTAAAAACTTCCGATGGCAACCAAAAAATAGAGTCTCAAAATGAATTGGCTTTTGAGATAATATTGAATGCAAGAGTCAATTCTACAAAACAAATTACTTATCAATTGCAATATATGAATCTTAGAATCTTTATGAAAATTCACAAGTATATTATTTAACAAATATCTAATTTGTATTTCTTATTTTTTGTATGTAAAAAAATGATATATAAATTTTGTTTCAAACTCATTCCTTTCACATTACTAAAAAGTGCCGAAAATTCATTACTGGATACTAATGGGAGAACTGCTGGGGTATTACTGGAGACTACTCAGTACTACTAGGAAGTGCTTCTGACCTGAAAGTTTTTGTAAAATCATAAGATATGCAATTTAGCTAGCGCTGTTATAAGCTTGAAAGATTTAAGAAATTGAGTCGCTATTACGGATTTCTTCAAAGCTGAAAACTTTGCGGTTGTGGTAGACGTTCAACCAGCGCCGCAGCAAGTTGATATGCACGTGGCGGAAATCATTTGCTAGATGATCTTTTCAACAAAGTTCGTTAACTCCGCGAAGATGAAAATATCCGAAAATTTAACATGAACAAAATCGAGTTTCAATCAATTTTATTACGAAGCGTTATTTCTTTTGCATTTGAATTTTACTGAGGGAGGTAAAGGGTGATATAATCAGATTCTGCCTTCTTTTATACAACCTTCTTAGGTAAACCAAGACTCCAGAAGTTTGCATCGTAATGGGTAGTTGCTATCCGTAATGACATAATAAAACTGGAAAGAAATTCTGCAAATGCCGAAAGGCTGACCGCTACTAACGGAGATCATGGACTCTAGTATAATTTATCGTATTGGCATTGTTTATTAACAAAAGCTTTTTAGTAAAGTTATGAATTATTTGACTGCGTACAAAGGTGTATGCGTTCGCTCTGACTATACTTTGAATTCTACACAAAAATTTTTAACCTACCTCAATCCTTTCTCTCTTGAAAGCCTTTGATTCAGCAATGGGCTGAAGAGAAATCATAAGGAGAAATTCCTCTAACAACTTTTCCCGCTGATATACTGTCGTATATATCTTATCCAACCTTTTCACCCGTTTTTCTTCCACGTTTGAAGTTGATAAGAACGTATCGGATGTGATACATGTAGTATAACATACATGATTGACGAACATAGCCAATAAGCACATTTCTGTAATTCATGCTCATTCTGCGGCGAACAACTTTTGCCCGAGTTTTCATCACTGCTCTATCCTGTCATCCAACAAGTAATGGGAGAGTTCTCCACAACTTGGGTCGAGACCTAAACATCCCTTCGCGCAAGTGTAACCTATGAATTCGACGTTAGCTGCCGAGAAGTGTGTCATCTGTGGGAGAAAAGGACTTAATGTCAATAGAATACGTAGGATGTTGATAGTCGAAGAAATAACGACGAACCGATGCGTGGGTACATTTTAGACGTGAATGGTTTGTCATTTGATCAGAAAAAATAATTTTGTTTACTAAAATAATCGAACTAAATTAGATTTAAATTTTCTACAAGGGAGGGTACTTTGTGCGGCAAGCTATGGTATTTATTTGTTAAACATTTATAAAAAAGTAGAAAATGAAATACGTATGTTGTAATATATTGTAACTTCATTTTTAATGAAGAAATTTTAGTTGTATGTCAAATTATAATATTTCTTTCCTTTCAAATTTAAAATGATAATTAATTCTCTTAAATATTAAACTTAATTACATAACGACACTATCGTTATATTCAAATATAGAAATGCGTTCTTTTTGGTCTGACCCATTTTAAATTGAAACAATTATTAAATGAAATTATATAATTTTAAATTTATAAGTTAATGTTATGTTCAATTTGTAAACTTTTATTTTATTTAAAATATGATTGAAATATGATATTGGACCTTTTTTATAACGATCTATGGTGCATAAAATCTAAAGTCATCAAACGTTTGTATTTTATAAAATGTATAAACTTCTTTACTAAGAAGTAA